AGTTAATTCCGTGCTAATCACCACACTTCTTGATAATTCCGTGTTAATCACCACACTTCCCTTTTCCTCCTGGGCTTTGTTCAGGAATGATCACATAACCTAATCCTGACCAATGATGTGAAACAAATAAAAATAAAAACAAAACAACTCTGGTGGAGGGCTTCTGGGGAAAGTTTTCTTATTCTCAAGAAAGAGACACAGGAGAGCTATTGCTAAGTCCACTGAAAGAGACCCTCTGCTTGAAATTAAGAACTGCAGGACCACAGCATAACCAGCTGAGGATGCAGCCAAGGCCACAAAGTCATAGAACCACGGGATTCCTAGGCAGCAGCACCACCCTGGGTCCTGAGCCTGGAGCCGCCTGTCTGTGACACCTATTACATGATATAACACATTTCCTCTAGGAAATATACATTAAGCCATATATTGGCATTTTCAGATGGTTTAATCTAATATGAAGAAATACAAAAAAATTTACCCTACTTCCTAATGATCAATAACAATCTGTTAATAGTCTGATATATTTAAAGCCACGTTAAAAACATCCTTCTCTTTAGTTGACTACAAAGAGCTAGTTTTATAAAACTGTAAGCAAGGAAATTCACTTACCTCTCTGGAAATGACTTATTTCCTGTTATTTTGTGGATATAATTTGGAAAATGAAGAGGAACTAATTTTATAATAAAACAATGAAGACAGAGCAGTGAGGGATCCTCCAACAGTGGGGATTAGAAGTTACACTGCAGACTGATCACGGCAGTCTCTGCCCTGAGCTGAAAGGCAGACAGACGGACTCTCTGTGCCTTATCTGGGGGTTTCACTTGGAAAAACTAGGAGTGGTGGGAGAGAAGACAGCAGGAACAGAATTTAGAATCATTCTCTGTATAGGTGTAAATCAAACAATGTTAGACAAATGGACTGAGATTGCAGCAGGAGAGAAGTCTCGGACTTGAACTGAGCCTGAGTTGTCTTAGCTTTCCAAGGTGAGCACCAGGAAGTACTGTGATGACGGCCCTGGTGGGGACACAGGCCAGGGTGCCTGACCGAGCCGCATGGCAGCAGGTGCTCACTGATTAGACCTGCTGCTGCCCCACTGCAGACCTGTCGTCCCACTCTGACCCTCCAGAAACTACCACTCCCCTCTGTGAAAGCACAGCACAGTTCACTTGGATACTCATTCCTGCCCTGACTGTTAGTTATCTGAATACATCTACCCCAGTGGAACGAAGGGTCTTTGTTAATTTTTAAACAATGAAAGAGTGAAATTTGGGTGAAGAATTCTAAGAGAGAAGTGAGTACAGATAGAAGTAAAGCCAAATGATTTAATGTTTAAAAAGTTAAAGTATCTGAGATGTGAATTAAGTAATTTCAAATAAATTTCACTTCAGGAGTGAAAGCTGGACCAAATCATCAGTTTAAAATTAACATTTCAAATGATAGAGGCCATCTACAGTAAACCCATAGCCAATACCATATTGAATGGAGTTAAACTGAAATCATTTCCACTCAGATCAGGAACCAGGCAAGGTTGCCCATTGTCCCCACTGCTTTTTAACGTTGTAATGGAAGTTTTAGCCATCACAATTAGTCAAGAAAAGGCAATCAAGGGTATCCATATAGGGTCAGAAAAGATCAAACTTTCACTCTTTGCAGATGATATGATTGTATATCTCAAAAACACCAGGGATTCTACTACAAAACTCTTAGAAGTAATCAAGGAATACAGCAGCATCTCAGGTTACAAAATCAACACTCATAAATCAGTAGCCTTTATATATACCAACAGCAGCCAAGCTGAAAAAGCAGTCAAGGACTCTATTCCGTTTACAGTAGTGCCAAAGAAGATGAAATATTTGAGAGTTTACCTAACAAAGGATGTGAAAGATCTCTATAAAGAGAACTATGAAACTCTAAGGAAAGAAATAGCTGAAAATGTTAACAAATGAAAACATACCATGCTCATGACTGGGAATAATCAACATTGTTAAAATATCCATATTACCCAAAGCAATATACAATTTTAATGCAATCCCTATTAAAGCTCCACTGTCATACTTTAGAGATCTTGAAAAAATAATACTTCATTTTATATGGAATCAGAAAAAAAACCTCGAATAACCAAGACATTACTCAGAAGTAAAAACAAAGCAGAAGGAATCATGCTACCAGACCTCAGACTATACTATAAACTGATAATGATCAAAACAGCATGGTACTGGCACAAAAACAGGTAGATGTACGGAACAGAATAGAGAACCAAGAGATGAACCCAGCTACTTACCATTATTTGATTTTGACAAGCCAATTAAACACATTCAGTGGGAAAAAGGCTGGGTAAGCTGGCTGGCAACCTGTAGAAGACTGAAACTGGACCCACACCTTTGACCATTAACTAAGATAGACTTTCACTGGATTAAGATTTAAACTTAAGACATAAAAGTATAAAATTTAAACTTAAGATATAAAAGACTATAAAAATATAGAAGAAAATGCAGGGAAAACTCTTGAAGAAATCAGTCTGGGTGAATATTTTATGAGGAGGATCCCCCAGGCAATTGAAGCAACATCAAAAATACACTAGTGGAACCTGATCAAACTTAAAAGCTTCTGCACATCTAAGAATACAGCAAGTAAAGCAAGCAGACAGCCCTCAGAATGGGAGAAGATAGTTGCAGGTAATATCTCTGACAAACCTTTAATAACCAGAATCCACAGAGAACTCAATTGTATTAGCAAGAAAAGAACAAGTGATCCCATCTCAGGGTGGGCAAGGGACTTGAAGAGAAACTTCTCTGAAGAAGACAGGCACACCGCCTACAGATACATGAAAAAAGGCTAATCATCCTTAATCATCAGAGAAATGCAAATAAATCCTACTTTGAGATATCATCTAAGTTTAGTAAGATTAGCCCACATCACAAAATCCCAAAACCAGAGGTGCTGGCGTGGATGTGGAGAAAAGGGAACACTTCTGCACTGCTGGGGGGAATACAAACTAATACATTCCTTTTGGAAAGATGTTTGGAGAACACTTAGAGATCTAAAAATAGACCTGCCATTTGATCCTATAATTCCTCTACTACGTATATATCCAGAAGACCAAAAATCACATTATAACAAAGATGCATGTACCATAGTGTTTATTGCAGCCCAATTCATAATTGCTAAGACATGGAAGAAGCCCAAGTGCCCATCAACCCATGAATGGATCAACAAATTGTGGTATATTTACAACATGGAATATTATGCAGCCTTAAAGAAAGATGGAGACTTTACCTCTTACATGTTTACATGGATGGAGCTAGAACATATTCTTCTTAGCAAAGTATCTCAAGAATGGAAGAAAAAGTATCCAATGAGCTCAGTCTTACTATGAAACCAATTTATACCCCAAGAAGAAGGAGAAAGGGGAGAGGGAGGGGAGGGGGGACGATGGGTGGAGGGAGATTAATTGGTGGGGCCACACCTACGGTGCATCTTACAAGGGTACATGTGAAATTTATTAGGTTTAGAATATAAATGTCTTAACACAATAACTAAGAAAATGCTGTGGAGGCTATGTTGACCAGTTTGATGACAGTGCTTCAAATTGTATGTAAAACCAGCACACTGTACCCCATTATTGCATTAATGTACACAGCTATGATTTAATATAAAAAATACATAAAAATTAACATTTCAAGTTTGGAGATTTGTAGGACCATAAATTTTCCCATTCCTGAGAATCCAAATCAACAATGTATTAGGCTTATATACATATTAGCTCAGTAATAAAAGAAAAATGATTTGTTTACAGATGACTGAACCATGTACTTCCTAGGTTGTTTTAATCAAGTTCTAATCTGACTTAAATGGTGTTTTATTTGGAAAAGGCACATTATGTTAAGGGGAAAAGTTCCCTACATTTATTAGACAGGTTAATACGCTTTCCTCAAGCCAAGGTCTAGCATTTATTTATTAAATCATTTTTGGGTTGAGTGGATTTATATCATTTTAAAGTACTCCTATAAAGCTTTCAATAGTTGTAAAAACATTGATCAGGAACTCAGACAGTTGTCAAAGGAATTATTCTTTCAGTGACAAAGTTGAACTGCACCAGTTCCCTATCTCCTGACACTCTGCGGGGGCAACTCTAACCCGCTCGCTTGACAAGAGGGTGTGGCCGACAGAACCAGCTCAGCAATGCACAGCACATGCACCCACAGTCACCAGAGCCTGTGCTGTAAAGACGGTTGTGAAACCTACACTGTCCACTGCAGGAAATGTGTAGCAATCTGGACAACAGATAGTGAGGGTGTTTATAACAAGGACAACGGCCAACGAACCCCACGTTCCTCGGCACTCTGTTGATCCTGTATGGCAGGCATGGTTTTCAGAGTCAGTGGAACCCAAAGAGAAGCATTAAGCAAGGTAAGAAGGAAGAGTAAACTGGGGAAAAAGTTAAAGATAAAAGAAAGCATGAGAATAACTAGTACATGTAAAAGGTAAAGTTGCTTCTGAATATTTTTATGTCAAATACAACTAAATAGCAGCTTTTGTTAGTAAACAGCATTTCTGAGCATCCCTAATATTCTTTAGTATATATGAAATATATATCAAATACATATAACTGAATACATAATACACATGATCAGACAAAGTTCACAAACCCATCCTAGAAAAAGTGCTCCAAACCTCACTGCTGAACACCACTACGGTCACCTTCCAGGTCCTCCCCTTGGCTGTCTGGAGACCATGGTGGTATTCTTAGTTGATTAAACCAACCTCAATCTCAATCTCTCTTTCTCTCTCACACACACAGTTAATACACATTACAAGGATGAATAAGTTAAAATATAAACCTCCCTCTCTGGGGGTGGGGGTGTCACAGAGGCTTCACCAGACATCACTCAGCAACTCTGTCAGAATGGAAACTGCCCAGTAAAAGTCCACCGCGCGTCTTCACTTCCTGGGCAAGGACTTGCTTCCTGATTCATGAGGTTAAACCGTGGAACACTGACCTTCGAGGGTGATTGGCATCGAACAGTGTGTTGTCATCGTCCTCGTCGTCCTGCTCCAGAGGGGTCAGCTCCATGTTCTCTATGTTAGTGTCCAGAACGCCGTACCTCCTCGTCTTCCGGTTTCTTCTTCTCATCCTATGAAACAAAATAAATGAATAAAAATTATTTTAATATAGTATAGAAGATCCTAACTTTATATTTATTTGTATATTAAAACAGATGTAGAAGGTGTTCACTATCAAAAGGCTTGTATTTCAGAAACGCAGCCCATCTGCTGCCCAGGATTATTTTTAATTCACAAACAAAACCCACTCCTGCAAGCTCGAGCGCTGTCAGTTTCTCCCTCTGAGCTGTCCCGGCTCCCTTAGTCCAGGGATGGTGCTAGAAGATTTCAAGCCTTAGGGCAGGTACTTCTTACTTAACCCTTCCACTCTGTTCTGCCCTGTACTGCTAAGAAACTGCATGGGTGCACATGTTCAAATTCCACTGGAGCCCACAACCCCAGCTGCACACTGTAATCACCTGGGAACTTTAAAAGCCTCACACTCAGGTCATAGTTGCATCACAGTGAACAGGGGTAGGAACTAAGCATCAGAATTTTGTTACAAAGCTCTACATGAGATTTCTGTGTACTGAAAACCACTATTTTAGCTCACTGGTTTCAGAAGTGTGGTTCTCTAAGTCAACAGAATCACAATAACCTAAAAACATAAAGAATATAGAATCCTCATGGCCAGCCCAGACAGAGTGAATGACAACCTTAGAACATGGGGCCCAGAAGCCTGTGTTTTAACAAATACTTGTACCTTTGATGCAGACTAAAGTTCAAGAACTACAGTCTTAAAGAAACTGAAAAGATTTTAGATGGATACGACAGAATCTGATGACTGAGAGGCCCACTCTGTCTCCCTCTCATTGACCTCGCTCTCCCTTCAAACACTTTACTCAACTCGCATTCAGACGTGCTTGTGTATCACTTTACGTGGCCATTTATTCACCTGTCTCCTCCACCAAGAGCCAGGAGGGCAGAAATCAGGATATTTTATCCACCACTGTGACTATTTGTTCACTTGGAATACAGTGTCTATCAGTGAAGACATCCCTCCAGTATTTGCTTAGGGTCTGAGTGATTTCTAATTCAGTGACTCCAAACCATGACCCTCATTCAATATTGGCCTGAATCACCTCCAAGTCAACAACTTCTACTCCAAACACAGGAAAATGTGTTTCACAAAACTATTTATTGGAGTTAAAAAACAAAATAGAAGATATTTCAGCAAATAATCATGAATAAAATTGAGTTTACTTATATTCTGACTCACTTTGACAAAATGAATGTGACAAATACTAAAGTAATAACACCTCTGGTAAGAGAGTAAATAAACCTCAGACACAGCAGAGGATCCCTCAGAGACAAACTGATGAACACACATGTCCTAAACACACACATCCAACAAGCACAGAAGTCTTACTGAGCACCGGGCACCCCACTAGTTTCTGGATGTGAAGGGCCTGATTTCAGTGTAAACTTTCAGTGTAAACTAGCACAGTTCTATTACGTACAGATGAAACCCAAGATGGTTTCCTTCAATCATTGCTACAGACCCACCTGTACACCCATCTGAAGGTGATGGGACAGGACACAGAGCTCAGCAGGTTTAAAGTTACAATTGTAACCAGAGAGTTAATCTATATTAAAACTACCAAAAATGGGGCAGTCTGAAGTATAAGTTCATCTTGTTTTATGGTGAGAGATTAAATTAACATGTATATGTCTGTGTGCGGTTGTGGTGTGCACACACAAAGTAGACCCAAGGTCTCAACTTTTCTGTAAAGAATTAGATAGTATTTTAGGCCCTGCAGGCCACATGTAGTCTGTCTCCTATTCATCTTAACTTTGTTTCATTTTATTTACAAATTGTTAAAAAACGTACACATACATATATATTTAGAAACTGAAATGTTTTCTTAGTTTTTATGGCTTAAGAAACATGTTAGCAGATAAGATTCAGCCTGTGGACCATGGTTTCTCCATCTCTGATTTAGACTTAAAAAGTAATTGAAGAAAAACTAAACGACATAAATGAATAAAAGTATTGTAATAGAAAGTGGAAAACATAATTGCAAACACACAGATGGTAGTTTACTGTTGGTGCTTTTGAACCACGTTATCTGATAATATTTGGATGTACTCCTTTGGTTTAAAAAAGGGAGTCTGTAAGAGTGAGTGAAGCCATTGGCTGTATAATTTAGGGATTTGGAGAGTTATAAATTCTCCAATTTCCTTTGCCAGTCTTTTGCTCAATTTCCTAAACCATATGGCTTCCCAAACATTCTGGCTTTTTCAGTCAATGAATAATTTAATGTCATGTGAAATTATTTTGGGAATATATTAGATTCTCCCAGGACATATATATCAAACAGTCAACACATCGCAACCTGCCCATTAGCCACAGTACGATCTGATGACAAGTCTTAAAAGAAGAAGTGATATGAACACAGAGTTTAAGAATTTAAAAAATTTATCTTATAAGACGCTCTTCTCCACTCAGTCTTCACCACATCTTGAATGAGTTCCTAACCTTTCCATAAGTAGCCAATTCATCTGTCTAATAACACTATTTTCCCAAGCTGTGTAGAGTTTAAATATTTGACTACATTGCTTTGGGCATTTCATTTTTATTCTAACTTTACTGTCCTTTAATTCAGTCTTGTATGCAAATGCTATCTTCCAAACATGAATCTAAGCTCTTTAATAATAAGAATCTATTTCATATACAGAGACAGAAAATTTTGAGGGACCAAGTAAATGGGCAATGCAGTTCAATTTAAATGAATTTATTATTTTAGGGCATGTACTAATTGAAATAAGAACAGGTCATAAATAAAACTATATATTGTTAAATATAATGTAAACTTGAAATGCATCCCTTCTAAAAATGTTTTTCATCAGTCTAGAGATTCAGGAATGATGACTACTTAGCCATGACAATCATGTGCCATAAAAAATACAAGTAAAACACATATACTGTGTTATACATGGCAAAACTTCTCAATTTTAAGAAATTACAAAGCTTTAAGTAATTGAGCTGATTCAATAAAATATACACTTAAAATACCAACAAACAGTAAGTATAAAATACAATACACATAAAAATATACTGAAATTTTAAGTAAGGGACTACTTGTTTATCTTTTAATGAGAAGGGTATATTATTTATTTTAAACATGAGGGCAGGAGGGAGACAAGATGTGACTGAAGCCAGCTTTCAGCAGAAGCTCCCATCCAGAGGGAGAAATAATGGCCAGAAATAACCCAATAAAGTAGAAGATCGGCAGCTGAGCTGACAGAGGATCGATAGGGTCACATCGCACCTGCTGCAACAAGCTGGGACCCCAAGAAAATAAATTTCGTGTACAAAACTCATCCCAAAGAAGATGGGAATCCTTCCCATATGCCCCTCCCCCCACCCCAGGAGAGCAACTTGAGGGGAGTAGAGAACAGAGGACCTTTTGTTTCACCAAAAGGGAGAAAACGACTGAGGGCCCAGACTTCCTCCACTGAGAGATACGGCTGCAAGTCCAGGCAATCTCTCACCTGGGCCAAAAGTTGATCTAATATTCTCCCTAAACTCCCAATCTACCCCTCCCCCTTCTCCTGGAGGTCTGGAAGACCAACCCCTGCAAAATCCAGAGTGTTTGGCAGATTTTGCTAGGGTGGAGTACCTCATGAGCTGTGGGACAGTTGCACTGAAACTATAACTTTAATAGAGGCAGGAGTCACAAGGGGAGAGAGACTTGCCCTGTGTTGGAAAGAGCATAGCTCAGGTCTTGTGCTGCTGACCACTGGAGACCGTGGCCCTCTGGCTCCCCTGCTGGGCAGCCTAAAGTGGGCAGCTCAGCTCCTCACCAGGCTCCTGTGACCGATGGCCATGCCAGGAACTCCCTCCTGGATCCTGTGACCCATGTGGCCCATGGCCCTGCCCTCCGGCTCCCCACCCAGCCCCCGCAACCCACAGCCTATGGCTTGTGACTTCACCTCGGCTCCCCAACTAGCTCCTGAGAACCAAGACCCATGGCCAGTGACTCCTGCCCAGCTCCTGTGACCTCTGAGGCCCAAGACTGGCAACTCTGCCCTCTGGCTTTCCGCCCATCTCCTGCAGCTGAGGCCAGGGGTCAGCAGCTCTTCCCTCTGATTCCCTGACCAGCTCCTGTGACCCTTGCAGCTGGTGGCAACACCCTCTAGCTCCCCACAGGCTCCTGTGATGTGCACACAGCAATACCCCAGACCTGCGGCCCAACCCCTGACAGTGGTGGCAGCTCCATGGTCCCTCCCACTGAGTTCAGATTGAGCTGCCAGGGAACCCGTGCTGCCTAGATGCTGAAGACCTTTTGAACTCTCCTGGTGTTTGTGTCCACTGGTACAATTGGTATGGAACTTTTGACCTGGGCTGATCACCCAGGGACCCACCAAAGTTGTACCCTGGTTGTGTTGTTATGGGAGTGTGAGATTCTCCCCTTCCAGTGGTCGCCTGTGGGGTGGGAGGCAGGGTGTCTTAATTGCTTATGTATCTCCACAGCTGAGATTTCAGTCCAAAGACTCTGATTCACTAGGATTGGATACAGACTAATTGAAAACCACTCAGTGCCATCTATCCCCACCACACCAAGCAGGTGCCCAGACTTTCAGGCAGTAGTTCTGAATAGGACCTTTGTAAAGCTCTAAGGGAAAAGCCACAATTACCAGTCTCAGTTCTTTGCTAAAGGGCAGGTTAATTATAACTCCAGGAGCCCTCAATTCAATTTCACCTTGCTAGTTACTCTAGCCAAATGGTGAAAAATAATCATGGGCTGGAATCAGAAGAAAAACTCTGGCAACATGAATAATCAGAATAGATCAACTATCCCAAGAAATGACAAAGTGGACACAACAAAAGATCCCATTCATAAACAAATGGCTGAGATGTCAGAAATCAAATCCAGAATTTGGACTGAAAATAAGATTAACAGAATGGCGGTAAAGATGGAATTAGAAATTCAAGGAGCAATTCAAAATTTGTCTCAAGAATTCAAAGAATTCAAAGACAAAATCACCAAAGATTTTGACCCATTGAGGCAAAAACTTGTAGCCCTTA